TTTGAGTAGCATCTGTGAACAACTTTCTTAGACAAGTTTCAACAGGCTTTACTGTGTAACTTTCCGTAAATTTTGGGTAAGACTCGTACAATACAATGATCAGAACTGAAGAGTGAGGCTCTTTTACGAGCTTCGTATATTACAGAATCATTTATAAATACTAAATCAGGTGAGGTATTTTGTCGAGTTGGGAAATTAACATTTTCATGGCCCAGCAATGTAAACAAACTGCTGTCAGACACGTCTCGTAAACCGTCAATGCCCAGCTCTTGCTACGCTGGGACTCACGCTGTTCCTTGAAGTTTCTCAGAAACGTTTAGTAATAACGGACGCAAAACAAAAAACACCGATTGGCTACTCGTTGTAACACTATAATATAGGCAACTTTAAATTAAGTTTTAACTAAGGTCTATGAACAAATATTACAATAATAAATCACAATATTACTTCTGACAGTTTTGGTCTAACTTCTTTGTGAACAGCGACCGATGAGACGATGACTGTCGTATTGATGACTCCGCGAAAATTGTGGAAGTTGGGTTTGAGCAAACAAACATGAATTGATCGTTCAATCTTCAACTACATTGACACTCCCCGCCAAAATACGGATCCATCCCTTTTCTCCATCTCGACCAATACACGTTGACTTGGATGCCATTGCGAGAACCTGGGTCACATGGACAGAGCTGAAATGGAAAACAAACAGAAAAGCCAGCACACTACATGCTTACCCACAGCACAATCTCACACATCGACGACGACCTACGCCTTCCAGTTAAAGGCATCCTCTTGCAACACAATCGCCACTTGCTAGAATGACTCTTGCAGAACGCAACGTGACCATAGAAGCACCTAATGAAACTCTACGCGCATCCTCTTATCTACTCATTACCAATTACTACTGCAATCGCTTGTCACTCATTCTGCCTTGACCCATCTGCTGTCTCTAACATCAATCAATTCATTCACGGATGTAGAAGACTCGAAACAACTTCAGAAGTAATCACGACGAAAACTTTAACAAAATTACGCAATTAAAACAAGGTACGATAACAACGAGTAAACACAATGAGTCCGAAATACACCAGTTGATATGACACCCCACACGTATACACAAACAGTACACACAAACTCGCAGATCGTGTCTCGATGGAATTCCTTTGAAGAATCGCAGGACTTACACCAGTTCACCTGCAACCCATCTCAGGTTGACGGTTGTAAGTTGTGGAATGTCCGGACACAAACGAGATTAACCAACAATTACAATAATTGGAACTCACACAATTATTTAACACAAACATATGTACAATCAACACATATGTTATGGATTCTGCCTTGATGAACTACCCTTGAAGAACCGTAGGACTTACAGCAGTACGCCTACAAACCTTCTCAGGTTGACGCTCTAGGTTGGAAAATCGTCGAAGAGTTCATTTGCTGACTTCCTTCTATCAGCTATATCCTCAAATCTGAACGGTAACACGCTCATGTCATTGTACCGTAGAATATAGATGATGAACAAACACACGACGTATCTGGTCAACCAAGCGTAGAAACAGAGTAATTTACACCAAAGATAATAACATTCAAATAGTAACTTGAAACAAGAAATGCCTTTATTCATGCAAGTCAATTTAACAATTACTCTTTCGTTTATACTTGGCTTATCCTCACTAAACTGAGCAACATCTTTCGTCTTTTCAAATGCACCAATACTATCATAGTCATTGCAGAAGATACTTGAGTTAATGGGTGACTGTTTCATTGTGGATGACAACACCAGCGATGACCAACTGTTACCAGTTGATGAAGTTAGCGGTGGACCAGAAGCTGTTGTTGCTCGGCTTTCAGAAAGTTGTCTACCTGCAAGACCACCACCACTGCTGTCTTTTACTATCAGCTCAGGTTTAACACTAGCATCTGATGACAGGTGGGCTACATGCTGATCACTCACACTGACGGTCTGACAAGTATGCATGCCTTCTGCAACTGCATCTGCATTTATTTCCAATTCACGTTCAAGTTGTACACAACTTTTGTTCACCTAAGTAGTAGTGGGCATATCCCTCATCTCATCATGATCAACCAAAGACAACGGTGAAGTATCATGATCATTATCACGAATATTCACTTTACCGTCAACTTCATCATTTTCAAACTCTTTAATAACAGAAGTAGACAATTTTGATTCCTCCTCGAAAATCCTAAAAGGTTTTATAACTTCACTCTGACTAGTAATACCTTGTAAACTTGTAGGGTTAGAACTGCACTCTGAAGCAATAACTCTATTCTGTGACACTCTATTCAACTATGGCTTACCAGTTGCTACTACAGGCTTCTTGACCACACCGTTATCGTCACACAATTCGGAGTCAGACCTGGAGTTTACATATAGCTTATCACTGAACTTGCTCACTGGTTCACAGTTCACCTTTGTATGCACCTCTTGCACACGTGTAAAACGCAACCGTGTTTGTCTTGCATCTTGTAACTTATCTGTTGAGGATGTACCACGAAATCTGTTACACTCACTAGGTCTATATGCATTACTAGACATCGTGGAGCCTTCTCGATATCCACCTCTTTGAGGCCTATTCGTCATCGATGATTGAGTTTTTCCCTCAGACTGCTCTATTCTAGGGGTGAGATTCAATACACTGGCAAACTTGCTCATCGATTGATTGACACTATCTTTTACTAGTTTCAGGATATCATCAAACTTTGGCTCGATACCCTCATCCTCCATACGGGAGCTTATCTTCACCCACTTCCTTTGCAGTCGAGTAGGTAGGCGTCTTGCTATTACTTCTAGTAGAAAACTCGAGTTGAGGCCACTCATGCAATTCATCGAAATCATTCCATTCTTGTAAATTAGCAAATTATCCAAAAACTGAGTGAGTGCCTGGGAGTCATCCTGTAATTGACCACCATTACCCTTAACAGCCTCGAATAATTTCCCTGCAATCATCGAAGGTCTTCCAAACCGTTGACTTAGTATGCTCATAGCCTCATCGTAGCCCTCTTTTGGCTTCATAAACTTACAGCACTGCATATCCCTTGAAGCATCCCCAGTGCAATATCTCATCAAATGCATCAATTTCAATTCATCACTTGACAGAAAACTACTCAACATGATCTCAAACTCCTTTACAAATTGTAAATAATCAGCCGGGTTTCCATCGAAACACCGTGGTTCAAATTTAGGGAGTTTGATGTTCCTATTATCCCTGAATGGCGAAACAGTAACATCAACCATGTCATGCTTAACATCAGACACATCGTTACAATTAACAGACAACTCACCATGACTTACTTTCCTGTTTGCATCCAAGACGCTCTGTCCCTTCTTTGACCCAGGCATTGTTGAACTTGACCCAATTCCAAAAACGTTCCACATATTGCTTGTTGAAAGAGGACTTGACCGGCACCAGGGAAGATGGACGGTGACTGTCCAAAGTCGTGCCCACTGTCCAAAACCGTTTAAAAACTGACGTTGTACTGTCCGAAACTGTCAGCCACGTCTCGTAAACCGTCAATGCCCAGCTCTTGCTACGCTGGGACTCACGTTGTTCCTTGAAGTTTCTCAGAAACGCTTAGTAATAACGGACGCAAAACCAAAACACCGATTGGCTACTCGAGAATTCTTTGTTGTAATACCAACATAAAGGCAACTTTAAATTAAGTTTTATTTAAATTCTATGAACAATTAGATATTTGTGAGGGAAATGTAGCTATAATTTGATAAGTGTTTAGGTCGACATTTTACAGTTATACAATCAATATTGTCATTTGAGAATTTGAAGCAGACGTTGTTGTCAGTAGACCACTGAGAATTAATAAATGTTGCAACACCACCACCTCCCTTCTTCTTTGAGCTGCATCGGTCTTGTCTGTAGATTGTGAACCCACTTAAGGAGACTAAATTATCGTCATATGAATCATGGAGCCAAGTTTCTTGAACAGTGATTACACCAGTATTACAATATAAATTTGAGTATAATACAGAATGCAAGTAGTTAATCTTGTTCGATAATAACCTGCAATTTGTGCTCATAATCATGGGAACAGTCATCTGATGCAGTGGACTACACTTTAATGATCTCTGCCACCCACCATGGTGCTTTTTCTTAACGTTATTATATACTCGTAAATCAACAGGTTGAAAACATTTTAAATAATCGCCAGAGCAAGTAATGCGACTTGGATACATTAGTGAATAATTAAAACAAAAAAAATCTGAGGAAATAGATGCAATATGTAGGATGGAAATTTTGGTAGCCCAAGGTTTAAGCAGGCCGCCAGATGATCATCACTGTAAACCTCTATATTCTTCAAGTCTCTAAGCAACAGTATCGTCAGTATTCTGAAAGTAAACGGCACACCAGCTAGACCAAATGGCATGCGCCTAAGCCGATGCTGTTTCTGACCCACGATGAACGTCGTCTTATCTGTTGTACCGATATCTGCCAACATCCCGACCAGAGGTCGAGCACTGTGAGCATATGCAATTATGACATCAGAAATACAACCAGCTGTGTATAATGAAATGCTGAAAAACAGTTATAATTAACTGATCTTCTCAACAATGCCAGAACATTCAGTAGAACCAATATGTCCATAAATTCCAGAGGTAAATATAGAAGTGATATACACTCTTTCCGTCAAATCGTGTATAGTGACCCGTTCACAAATTTTCAAATGTCCAAAGATTTCTACAGAGATGCTTAGCAACCGGTGTACAATTTTAGGCAGAACTGACGGCCAAATACCGAAGTTTTTATCAGGGTCGGGGGGCGACCATGTAGTGAAGGCAATGACAAGTTGTAGGACATAATATCGCTTAAATCGGACTCACGATAGTCATCGTGAAGGGTTACGGAAGAGGTTAATTGGTAGAGAAGGGTGATTGGTGCGGGCAGTCTGGAAAGAGCAAGTCCACATACATAATTCGCTAGTGATCTACATGATGGAAGTGAAATAGTCAAATTATGATAAGGAAAGTGGCCCATTGAAGAGCGCGAATTTCGGAGTGAATGTTACGTGTAGGAGACATGGGGTTGTTGTTCTTTGGGTTAGTTACAGCTCTGAGAGTAAAAGCAACTGTATATTGTGCTTTTTACTAAACTTTAGTTGTAAAATAGCGGGTTCTGTGTTAAACATTCAGAACAACTTCGACAGAACTGATCATCCCGCGAATGATAAATTGTGTGTTTTGATTTCAGAGTTTGAATCCTCATATGGTTTTAGAAAGTTTTTACGGGTCAGATAACGTCAAGTGTTAAAATATAGTTAAGGTTTAGGAGAAGGATTACGCAATTGACACCCCAGCTAGCATTGGCTTCAGGCGCACTGTAGAATGTTTAGGGTAGACTTCAGATAATTGTCCCACGTTCCACAAAGCACCCGAAGAAAATGCCAGCTGGGACAGGCAACAAAAGCCTTCTACCCTTTTTAGCCTGAATCCTAAACTACTCAGAACTTGTGAACTGATACTTGATTATCACTGAGATGGCCTTACTGAAGCGCAACAAAATTACTGCATTTAGGGTTAATGCAATATTTCCTCATTAGAGAGGTTAGGGAATTCTTTATTTTGTTTGATCCTCACCCTGAAAAAAATGTTATGGCATCGTAATGCAAACATATAGGGAAATGCTTCCTTTCCCACCCAAATATTTGCCCCTAAATTCACAAAATTTCCATAAAGACGTCACAATTTTTTATTTACGACTGTAAACCTTTCCTAATATTTCTTTGTATTACAAACACAGATTTATGTACTGAGGATTACTGAAGTCACTGTAGAGTTGGTCTTCATGAAACTTGCATCCTCTCATTCATTACTCCACCCTACATCACCTTGAATTGAGGAACTAAAATATCAAGAAAATCCAGTTAATGAGTACTAAAATGAATTACAAACTGTCACAAACACCTAAAATTTTCTGCAAGGAAGGTTATAGATCTTCACCTCACAATATAGGTTGGGAAAGAACTGCCATTTCTTGGCCAACAAACTGTAATGTTGTCATGAGTAACTTGTTAAAACCAAGTGATTTTGTCTCAAATAATGAAAGGCATATTCACCACTTACACAAGAAATACTTCCGATAAACATCCCAGAAGCTACTATAGAATTCGTTAACTTCAAAAATAAGAGCTGATAGCGCATTCATGCTTCTCAGATTTCTTAACACTTTAGTTGTCTAATCTGACAAATGCAGTCAGATGCTAGCTAACGCACAAGTTCAGGGAATTGAGTATATTTCCTATACTGCAGGATCAGTTAGGAGGTAGGCACCAAATCGAAGACACTATTTTGAAACCTTTTGGTTTGCAGTTAGTCAGGCATTGGAAACGACTGCTTCGAAGACGTTACACAACCACTTGCATTTGCATGAAGTTGTCAGTGTAGGTGTAAGTGCCTCGCTGGTTAGACCTCGTTAGACAGAACGAGGTTCAAAGGTGTGATCCATTGGTTGGAAGTCGAGCACACAAACCAATGAGCTACAGTTCCAGGCGTCGGCGGCACAGTGGTTAGGACTCTCGCCGACCATGCACATGGCCCGGGGTTCGATCCCCTGCCGACGCACACCTGATATCTATGGTCGGCCTGTAAAATTTGGCCTACCGATATCACATGCTGAAAATTCCATACCTGTACCAAACAATACTATGTGGAATCAAGCTCTAATAAAAAAATATTTATTATTTTATTATATATCTAATTCCTAGAGGAACATAGGGCTTCAGCCGCCCAAGTCTCCATTGCATTCGGTTTTCTGCCAACTTTTTCACCTGGCTCCAAGTCTGCCCACATGCTTTCGTCTCCTCTTCACATAACCTCCTCCAAGTCACCCTTGGACGATCAACTAGCAGCTTCCCTTTCGGGTTCCACTCGAGGGCTTGTCTATTGATGTCACTCGATTTCCTCAGAGTATGGCCAATCCATCTCCATTTCTTCCTGCCTATTTGTTTCACAATCGGTTCCTGATTGGTTCGCTCCCAGAGATCCCTGTTGCTGATCTTTTCTGGCCATCTGATCTTGAGTATTGAGCGGAGACAGTTGTTAATGAAGGTTTGAAGTTTGTTTGAGATGCTCTTTATGACTCGCCAAGTCTCTGATCCGTATAGTAGTACTGACTTCACATTGGAGTTGAAAATCCGGATCTTATTTTTGATGCTGAGTGCTGTTGACCTTCACGCAGACTTAAGAGTAATGAAAGCTTGTCTTGCTTTTCCGATTCTGGCGTTGATATCCTCGTCAGTTCCGCCTGTAGTTGAAACGATGCTTTCAGGTTCCTCCCATTTATGCTGATTGTTGTCTGTTGTTGTTGTTGCTGTTGGTGTTGCCCAGGAATCATCACCTCTGTTTTATCTATGTTCACCTGTAGTCCTATCTTCTCTGGATGCTTCTTCTGTCAGCTTGTTGCTTTTCACTTGCATATCTTCCATTTTGTGGGAAATCAGACATATGTCATCGGTGAAGTCCAGATCCTCCAAGTTTTTTGTGTGGATCCATCTTATGCCTGTTTCCTCGTTGCCTGCAGTCTGTCGCACTATCCAATGTACTGCAATCAGGGAAATCATTAGCGATAGTAGACAGCCTTGCTTCACTCCCCTCCTCACTTCGAAGGCTTCCGTAAGTTTCCCGTTGTGGATTACTTGGTATGCAGCATTGTCGTATAACTGTTGGATGAGATGTATAATTGTCGACGGCACCCGTAGTAGCGAAGTAGTTGCCAAATGACCTCTCAATCGACACTGTCGAAGGCCTTTTCAAAGTCGATGAAGTTGAGATAGAGAGGTGACTGCCATTGCAAGCTTTGTCCAATGATGATCCGTAGTATTGCGATTTGATCAATCCATGACTTGTTTCTCCTGAATCCAGCTTTTTCCGGTCGATGTTTTTCATCCAGGGCTTGTTTGATTCTCTCCAGGATGATTTACGCTGCCACCAATCGCTAAAAAAATAATAAAAAAATATTAACCAGTTGAAACGTAAAGGAATACAAAAATGTCGATGAGCTGAGTCCTACCATCCTGGTCGTCACTGAAACATGATTTGGATGAGACGTCTAAGGTGTTAGGTTTCACCTGTGTGCTCCGCTGTCTTGAAGGCTGTGAAACGACTCTTGATATTTGAAACTATGTATTCGTTCCTTAAAATCTACAGCTGACGACAATGAATTACGTACAATCGTCGCCTGTGAGGTCATCTTTAGGCGCTAAATGCTGATTAGATTGTTGTATCATTGTAATCACTTCGTGTTAGAGCGCATCAAGCAGTGTAGGAGATTTATCAGCTATCTCATTTTGAGTAACTTTGATGCACTCAGTATAAACTGAACAGCTCTTTCCTTCATAGGATCCATTATTCATTCTTGACAGCAGATTACTCCTGACTATTGTCGAGAACACCGTGGTTCTATCCAAGGCTCTTTCTTGTTGGGCCTGGTGCTAATTCATGATACAGATTAGATAAACAGCCCACTTATTCATTTTCCTATAGTTACTGGTGACCGTAGATTGTTATCGCTTGACAGTAAAACATGTGACTTAGTCGGAATTCAATGCTAGATCTGTCATCGCACTTGGTATGTGGATACCGCAGCTATTAAGAAACGTAATTCAGCTGTGTTCTGAGCGGTCAATACTGACTCGTCCATTGATGATGCATGGAATAAATTCATTAATGCACTTGAAATGGTTACACCTAAATCTACTCAACAGAAGTCTTTTAGTTAGCTAACAATTCGTCTCACCAAAAGAAATTGGTTGGTCAGGACACTTGCGGTGTAGGAAGAGGTTATGGAATCTTTTTATCTCTACTGGAGTGCAGTATTTCTGGCTAAATTATTTTGGAAGTAGAAATCAGTCTAAAGCGTTGGTTTACCAGTCTAGGAAGGCATGTAAATCACAGGTAGTCAGCATATCAGTAGACGTTCTTCGTATGGTAAGAGAACTACGAAAAGCCACTCTTCTACTTGTTGAAGACCCGATATGTTTAACTGATGATGATGGAGACGCGGTTCACCGGGATAAATAGTCGGCCTTAAGCCCTTGGGTCTAATAGTCGAATCTGGTCCCACTTAATTCATCCTGAGCAGCTGAGTAGTAACATTAGCCTACATACATACAATTATTTATGCCCGTACAGCCTGGTATATGAAACATCTGCCCCGAGTAACTAGGCTCAAATGACTTCAGTGGTGTTCGCCAAAATTATCAGTGTACCTATAGTAGATCTACCGGAAGTTGATCTTGAAAGAGAATCTTCACATATTAGAAAGGAACCCATCCGAAATACAATGGTCCTGATCAGTGCCATTCATTAATGATATCAGCTCTAGTCTAGACTGTAGAAAAACTGCGGGCGTTAGTGATCAGCATGTTACTGAGCCAATCTAAACCACAAAGATTGCCACCGTCAGTTCGGTCTTCAAACCGGTCTTATAAATTCGATTAACAATTACCATCCCGATAGCCTAACCAGTATTACTGTTAAACTACTAGAGAATTGTCTGTGTTGCGGTTATTTAACATCTTGATTGTAATAAGTTTCTGGCGGGGGAACAGTCTAGTTGTAGAGGGAGTCATTCTTTTTTCTTACTGTCGTTTTTTAAGATAATGCTGGACTAACGTAACTGACGCTAATAGTCCTGTGGGTGCTGTATTGTTAGACTTTAGAAAGGCTTTCAGTAGAGTTTTCCAGTAAGGTCTGAAAGTAAAGTTGGGTAGTTTTGGAGTTAATGAAATGATGAGGGATTGGGTTCAGGAATTCCCCAAGGTTGGAAGACAAACAGTAAGGGTTAATGACGTCTTGTCATTATGCCAGTCAGTAAAGAGTAGCGTGTCACAAAGTACGATGTAGTTATGCATGTCTTTCATAAGACTATGCAGAACTACTTAATAAATCGCTTTAATTTACCGAGTATACGGATTTAAAGCGATTGTAGACCATTAGGTGAGAAATTCAGCATAGTATAGAGTAGTGGCTATGAAAGGTTTTAGAATATTATCCATTCTCCACAAGGTCTTAACAGGTTTTGACACTACTATATTTTGTATATTATATATCCGGCTTATATCAAACCTCATGTTGGATACTAGTTTCAGGCAGCTAGTGCATATTTCAGATGTAAAGCAGACGTATTATAAAAGGTTCAAGTGATAACGAACAAAGTGGACTAGTCATCAAACCTCTATTATAAGACAAGATTATATCAACTTTGGTTGTAATAATATTGTTATGATTCATTGAAGGCTTTTTTCAGCACAAGTGATAGGTCTAAGTATGCAAATTTCCAGTATTTTGGATTGTATTTTATTTGAAGTGTTTTCTGCTGGACTCTAGAGAACTGCGTAGTTCCCTTTAACAAAGCTTGTAGGAGAGGTCAAATGCTGAGAGATGTCAGTTTTGTCGCCAAGTTTATACTAATATTCATTCTTTTCTTAGTTGATCATGTAAAAAGATTGTAGAAAACATTTATTTATTTAGTGAAGATTAGTTTCATGTGCACTTATTGATGTACAGCAGAAAAAAGGGATAGTTCCCTTCAACAAATAGTAGGCGCAATAATTTGTGACTCTCCAGTAGTAGTCACCTATGAACCCAAGGCGGATCGAACTCGGCACCTTCAAGTTACAAAGTGAGCTTGTCGACGATCCCGTGTTAAGTCGTATCGTTACGTGGGTAGTAGTTAGGTGTGGTAGTAGTAGTAGTTAGGCGTAAAGTGTTGGGTAAGAGTGACAAATCAATAGATAAGGTTGTTAAGACGCTACATCGATTAAAATGTTTAGGACATGTGTTACGCATGCCGAGCCACTGTCTTATTCGACTGGGAATGTTAGCTGATATAGGACTAGGTTGGGAAAGAGATGGTAGCGGTGAAATCTTTAACGGTTAGTTTGAGCCATATAAGGTAGTGTAGACTGTCTGGTTATGGTCCTTGGAATGCTAAGAACCATTGACTAGAAGCTGTTGGTGATATGACTGAAAATCCTTTCCAATGACTCAGATACATTCAGTCTTTGTGATTTTCCATATCCAATAAAGACTCATGATTTTCCATGTGATTTTTCTTTCTCTCGTACAATTTTGTTTATTATATTTCTTCTAAATCTCCTCTTTCTCTTTTCTACCTTTACGTGGTACATGGAGTGTGGCAACTTGAACTGGTGCACATCTGTGCAAAATTGTGTTTTGAGACTCAGTTAGTCAGTCATTGAGTATATTATTAGTGCTTTCATGATACTGAAGTGTATTATCTTCCACTTTAAAGCTAAATACTGAGCCTTCAAGTATACAAATTCACTTTGGAATCAATTTTCAGTGAATTAACCTCAGTTGAATTGCACGAAAGTGGACATGACTTAACACAACTGTTGTCCGCAAGGCGACATGCTCGAAGTAATATTTTCATGTATAATCTCACACCTGTCCACCTAGTTTTCAGTATCAGCAGGTGTTAAAAAATTCTGCAGTAGCCTTTTGGAAATGCTTTGAGTAATTCACGTGCCATGTTGCTGAATTTTACAGAATGACTGACGTGATGTCAGTGTTAAATAAAATATGGATGATGTTATTGCTATAAGTACAGTAGAGAACTCCACACCGAATAGACACTGACATGTGCTTTTTTATTGTCAAGAGAGTAACACATCATATGAGCAAGTCAAGGCACGATTCGCATTAACAGTGAAATATAAAAAAAGCGATGAAGAAGGCAACACTAATGTTTGCGAATTAAATCTCACATCTTACCAGCATAGATTGAAAAAAATTTTGATTGGTTGTAGGAGGATTTCATCATGAGTGGACATCAGTTAGAGGACCATTAGAAAACCAGCACTAAAGTACTCGAAAGCTGTTTCTGTTGTCCTAGTCTGGGACTCCTCATCGGTACGCACCCGCCGCGGAGTTCGAACCCACGACCTTCTGGTTACAAGGCGAGCAAGCTCGTAGCCCATTAAGCCACTCACTGGGACCCGACTCCTCAATGGCCAGTCCATAAATTCTAACTTCTGCCAATTCATGGCATAGCGCGACCCTTCTTCGATGACTTACTGCCTCATTTTCAACCTGCTGCACCCTACTGTCTGTCTGGATTCAACATAGAACTTGGCACCGAAGTGCAGCAGTTCGAGTTGCCACGTTCCAAATAGCACACAGAGGTAGACAAGAAGATGAGTGGAGAGAATTAATAGAGTTTGACAAATATAGGAGTGAAACAGAATGGGTAATGGTAGAAAGGAATATGAAAGATTACAGAGATTGAATACATCTGCGCCATTGACAACGATTTTGAGCCATGTCACCTATTGTCTCCAGCCATTGATTCCTAGAGTCCCGAGGGCCCCAACCCGGGAGTCTGCATCTCCCTACCTGACTCAGTTTAACTGTCAAGGATTTCATGGATTGATGCCATGTTTTTGTTTGGCCACCACTGGCTCTTTTCCAACCTGAACCTATATCAGCTAACAATGCCCGTCGGGGGAGGCGGTGGTTAGGCATGCGCACCACGTGACCTAGCCATCTTAGTCTATGTAACTTTATAACCTCGTCGATTGATTTTCCCTCTTTGCCCAACACTCTACGCCTAACGTCAACATTACTTATCTTGTGAAACCACCTAACGTGAGACAGAGATCGCAGACATCTATGATCGAAAGCAGTCAACCTTTTCATGTCTTCAACGCGTATTGGCCATGTTTCAGAGCCATAGAGAAGGACGGAGCGAACTGATGAGCAGTACACACGTCCCTTGGTTGATAACCGGATGTCACGCCTACGCCAGAGATGGTGTAAGTCAGCGAAAGCAGCTCGAGCTTTTCGGATCCGTGCTGAGATTTCATCGCCAATCAGTCCGTTGGTGCTAATACAACTCCCCAAGTAGGTGAAGTGGTCAACATGTTCTATCACTTCACTCCCTATCACTAAGTTAGGGGTTGACGTCGTCCAGTCCTGTAGCAGCATGTCACGGCTTCCCACTAGAACCCCAGTTCATGATGAATTGCTGTAACTAATGAATCAAATCCCTACAAACCAATACTTGAATCCCCATTTTGTTTGATTTTCTCTCCAATATTTCACTAAAAAGTAATTTTTTAGTTGTTTCATTATGAACGTGTAAAATATCTTCCTTTATTGAAGATACAGTGATATCAAGATGAATCGTTTATCTAATTTTCAGTTTTAATTAGAAACAATTTGTCATTCATTCCTTTCATAAAATAAGGCTTCATTTTATTATTGGGATAGACGCCTTGAGTGGAAATAGTGAACTGAGGAAGCATCTATCTGATTGGATGAATTTTAACACGTAGGAATTTTAACTACAATCTCTTCAGCAAATGTATTTTGTATGGAGTACTAGTATAGTATTATAACTATTTATGCATTGTGTTCTTAGTTGAAAATAGGGATTTAACATCTCATCGCCACTGCACTTTGTTCTGTGCAATCATTTTCAACTGACTCTAATGGCTGCCTATAAACTTTCATTCCCCCATCATAGCCTTTCGTGTATGTCACTGCTCACAGACAGCCAATTCGTTGTTTCCCACTCGAGAGTGCGGCGTTTCAGTGTGAAGGGTCTCCTCAGAATATGTCTGATTCATTTGCATTTAATTTTGCATATTTGTTTGACAATAGATTGTTGGATGGTGATTCGCTACCTGTCAGCATTCTTTGGTGCTTATTCTTTAATATCGAGCAAAGAGAGGAAACCAACTGATGAAATACTGTAGTATTCTCTCTCTAAGCTATCCAGGATAGGGAAAGCAAAACTGAAGGAAATTCATTGCTCTGAAATCTGAGTAGATATTTACACCAATCAGTGCAATTCAGGACACTCGAATGTTGTTTAACATTAATATCATGTCAGTGGTTCTATATGCTTCACATGCTTGGTACGCACATCACCAAAAGTATTTCTAACAGGCTAGTGCAGAATTTTATCAACATCAACCCTTTTCGTTTGATAGTGAAGGTGGAATGGTCAGTCAAAAAGGATAAGCAACAAGAACCTCTGACACTCAAAAGTCTATTATCCGGAAGGAAATGAAGATGGAATGGACATATGCTGAGAAGAGTGCTTCAAGTGACATTACACTGTTATCTTGCAATACAATCCAAAATAGGCAGTAAAGACTCGGTCGTGGGCCTAAAATTTGACACTGATAAGCATACGTGACGAAAAAATGAAGGTTTCAGGATTTCATCATGTGTTAACATCCGTTAAAGAACCATTGGGAAACCTAGGACTAGTAGACAGGACTCCTTATCAGTATGCATACACCACACGGGTTCGAACCTAGGACCTTCTGGTTACAAGGAGGACTTATAGATCACTAAACCACTGGGACCTGATCGAATGGCCAGTTCGTAAACTCCAACTTTTGCCAATTGCTGTTATGGCGCAACCACTAGCCAATGTTATCCGTGTCAAGTATTTATCCTCACAGTCGACCTGATGTCTACCCCAATGGTCAGTTGTAGGGTAGTGTATGTAGTATTGGATATTGCGCCAAATCCTTATGTTGTCAAATGTCTTACCAGCAGAGCGATAAAGATATGTACGGCTGACCTCTTACAAAATGAATTTGAATATATTCACGATTCCTTAACGGCGATGGGCCATCCGAGTAGTTTAATAAAGAAACATCTGAAAACATCAGAGAGAAAACCTGAGACTATCACTGCATGTAAAAACCTCTATTTATTAAGTTACAATTTAATGATGACCTATCAAGTGAGATTTTATTCCAGAGACTTTCCAGGAGTATACGAAGAACGTTTTACTCAGCACACCTATGGTTGTCATTCTCCAGCCAACAAATGATTGGGACGCAAACGAAGGATAAGCTAGATGGTTTTGCTACATCTATGTGCATTTATCAATTCAACTGCACCTGCGGTGACAGTTATGTTGGGCGAACTACTAGACAGCCTAGCCAACGTGTCACTATTGAACATCTTCCATCGTGGTGGTTTGGCAAAGGACAGACAGAACCAATCCGTAGCTCAATTTTGTCACATTTACTTGATAGTGGTCATGTAGTGGGGAAAACGAGAGCTTTCAAAGTAATTCATCGTGTCCCACCGAATCTTTCAAATAAACTTCGTATTCGTCTACTGCACACAGCTGAGGCAGGCGATAGGCATTCGAACTATTCAACGTAAACTATGCACCTAAAAAAGTTTGTACAGTCATTATCCCTCCCTTATTGGCCTATTAAAACAACCAATTGATGACTTCCCCACCAAACCTTATTTATATTTTCAAACCCTCTCTTATCATCCCTTGATCTTATCACATCTTCATTAAAAACGTGTTTCATTTACTTCCTTTACAATCTAGGATTAATTAATCGGTTCATTTGTTTTTCTTAGCCTTTATCGACTACTATGTCTACCTGAACATTTGTTTGTTGAATCATGCTGTTTTTTTTTCATTATTCGTGTTATCACAGATTGCCTCACTTTTTCATCCTTATTATTGATAAAACCATTATTTTTATTATTATTACTATCATTACTACTATTATGACTAATCGCACAATTTATATTCACCATCTTATCATCCGATAGACAAAACACCATGATTGGTTTATATTTGGATTTTTATTTGTAAACTTATGTAGTCATATATAGTCATAGAGTTAAGCCTGATGAGATTTAATTGAAAACACAATAATGTTCGCTTAAATGTGTTGTTCTACATTTTACTATGGGAATATTTAATATATTGAAATCCTTATATCCCACTGGAAAGGCCGGAAATGAACAGTAATTTTATTAATCATACAATTTACTCATATGTGTCAGTATACTTTTCTTTTTCTTTTTCACTTTTACAGGCAGATATCAAATGTGTTGATAGTTTTATAATGACAAAACATTACTTCAAATATTTCTTAACGAATAATCATATTTCATAAATAACTACAATTGATATAGGAATAGTAGTAGTAGTAGTGGTATTAGCAGTGCTCAAAGTTGAAGCAATTTGTATTTTCTCACCATCATCATCGTCATCATCAGTATATATTTTTACAAGTGTATGTACACTACATGGGAATATTCACGCTCACCATTTGTATTTTGATGAATTAAACATGAATGATGATCAACAGCAGCTTAAAAGTAAATATGAGAGATTGTGTGTAGAGTTTAAAAAGGTTTGTTCTAATTAATTATTGAATTTATCATCATTATTATTATTACAGCTTCGTACAAAATATAAGGCTTTAAAAGACAATGAAAATGAAACAGGTCAACAATTACAGGTGAGTTTATTATGTTTCAAGTCCAGGTTCAAAGGTGTGATCTTCTTCGTTTATTTATTTGTTTGAATGTGCATTATCCATTGGTTGTTCAATGGTCGATTGTTCAACAGTCATATAAGAGGTTCAAGTTGGATTTCCTCCTGGTTGATGCATTGCAAAACTTTTTATAGTTTGAAGCAATTCGTTGTCTGTATGAATTTCGACAACACAATAAGAAGATGTGGTTTATCTGAAGCGTGTAATTTATTTTTCGCAGCACATTTCGGACATTCTGATCACACACACGTACTTGTTATACACAATTTTTATAGAAGGTATGAATAATTACAATACAGGTCAGATTGTGTACAGGTCAAGGCCGATACAATTGAAGAAGAAGGACAACACCTCACTGAAATATTGTTAGGTAACAATTACCCGCCGAGATTTATTAGGCTTTACGGAAGTGTCAATCGTAGAGCTCTACCAATCCAATCATCTCCAAAAAAAAATGTTAACATTGTATCCTTGCCGTTCTGGTCACTAGACAAAGACTCAAGGCCGCAATTAATAGAACTTATTATGCAACTAAACTTATCTTCATAGAGGAAACGAGAACTATGCTGTCCTGTAAACCCTCACATTATCCGAATGATAGTGTCACATCCCATTGTGTTTATCAATTTACATGTATGTGTGGATACATGTATGAAGGTAGCACTCGTCAGTCTGCAGGTTAGGACTACAGAACATATCCCAAAGTGGCTACAACAGCAGGAAAAAATCACCGGATACAACTAATCCCGGAAGCAGATGTCCAACATAATCTATAGCGAAGCACATTAAATACACGGGTTGAATCAATAAATATATAAAACAAGGTTGGGTCACACACTCAAATTCTTTGAATCCTTGGCCATAAAAAGACTTAAACTTGTATGTCTTATGTGTCCAGAAGTTATTTGTTATAACTTTAAACCTGACTTGGTAATTCATTTTAGAACCAAGGACCAATTTACTTCATAATATTTACAACCCCTTCTTTGCTTTGTTTTTCCTCTTTTTATCTTTCTAACCCACAACTCATTAGTTGTGACCTTGACCTGCACACAATCTGACCTGTATTGTAATTATTCATACCTTCTATAAAAATTGTGTATAACAAGTACGTGTGTGTGATCAGAATGTCCAAAATGTGCTGCGAAAAATACATTACACGCTTCAGATACACTACATCTTACCTACTTTACTAGCCGAAAAAAAGAGACAGCGTTAAGGAGAGAATGTGAAGCTAGTAACACTAACGCTACTGAAACATTAAAAGCTTGGTCTGAGTTAGTCAAACTGCCTACACACTATTGATGGTGAGGTCGATTCCTAATTTGCGAAATAATCACCAGGTATTTGTATCATTTCAATCTGTAGCGCTCTAAGAAACAGTACTGGTTGACTTATGCATGTATGTGTGTGTGTGGCATCCAACTACTCATGCCAACCAATCAGTAGTGTATAGCTTGAAACTGTATGTTTCGCTCGATATGCGAAAGTAATATATGTAATGTCTGTTCTAAGTAGGTAAGCATTTCATTACCAATTCAGATACATTTTGCTGATACGTAATAGGAAGAGGGAGAAAGAGAAAGAGAGATTGCTTACAGGATTTCGTCCTGAGCAGAGATCGATGCGATTATGAAGATGAACCAATTAAGGTGAGGTGAGTGGGACACGTGTCGCATATATTTCGAGTCATCGCTTTCATCGACGAGTAATATTAGCTAACTGATATTGGATTAGGTTGGAATCAGTTCATGAAGTCTGTGATAGTTGGTTCGAGCCAGCCAGTCAGCCACATAGGGAAGTGTAAACTCTTTGATTAGAGTCTTCGTTACGATGACAACCGATGGCTGGAGACTAATAATGATATGGCTCAAAGTCGTTGTCAGTGTCGCAGATGTATTCAGTCTTTGTCATCTTCCCATATCTACAGGAACCTCACGTTTTTCCATGTGACTATTCCTTCTGTCCTGTATTTCTTCTTATTACAGTCCTTTCGAGTCTTTTTCTCACTTTTGTATTCTAGCTACATGGAGTGTGACAGCGCTTGAACTGTTGCCCTTCTCTGCTAAGTTTTGTATTGATACTTAGGGGGGGGGGGTCAAAGCTCATGACCAAGTAGTAATTCTTTGGGTGCTTGCTGAAATCCTTTTGTGACTTCGAATTTTGATCTTACCCTTAGTCTGACGCTACTATCTTGTAGATCGGAATTCAAGTCAAAGTCTGGCTGGGGAGAAAGATTAGCCGCCTTAAAGCAACCATTTGCCTCAATCTGAGCATTTAGGCATGATCTCAGCCTCCTCCTCTCAGCAACTAGTAGGCAGTTTTCTTCACTACATCAATAAGTGTCTGTCTATGGAGAAATTATATCATCACATAGTTTTTTTTAAATATTATATGTGTACTGTTAGTTTCTTTTACTCCACTTCAATTTTGATTCCTTTGTTTTGTTTGGTCATTGTGTAATTTATTCTAATATGCGTAGGAGAATTTATCAAAGAAAGATGCGTATATCAAGAGATTACAAGATGAAATAGCATATTTGAAATCACATCTCTCCTTATCATCAAAATCATTTGATGAAGGTCATGAAGGCCTTCTTCTTCATCATCATCATCATCATCTAAATGGTGTTATGATCAGTGATTCAAATCATTTATCAACAACAACATCATCATGCCTCAGTCCAACTCAGTCGCTTCCTTTTACGCATACAACTCATAAGCTTGTTGAAGATGACTCTGGGAAGTTAAGTGATCAGGTGAGTGGGTATTTTCCTTTTTTTAGTTCATTTGTCGCGCTAGATATTTCATAAGAAATTTCACGCAGTTTTTAAGCACCTCGCCACCTCCGCCGCCCCCATTAAAACTACCTGATTCGACTGAAGGTGGCTAGACTTCAGTTTTTCTCTCATAACGCTGTCATCATGTGGTCACGTTTTCATAGCCTCTACCCAGGGGTATATCCTATTCACTGACTTTATGCGGTGGATATGAACGTGTGGTGCTTACAATCGAACAAGATATGTGTATACACATATATCTACCTAGGGAAGTCGTGGTCCTTTAAGACAACACTACCTGCTTCTGTTTTGGTTTTCGATCAGTATCCTGAGAGCCATCAGACAAGTTGAAATTTTGTATAGCTCATTTTTTGGTGACTAGAATGTATCAAGTTTGTGTTTTAATCCAGTCAAGTGTGAGGATGGATGCCCCACTGATGACATTTTTGGTACTAGCCACGCTAAATCATGAATTCGTAGAAGTTAAGATTCATGGACTGGCCATTGGATCGGGTCCCACTGTCTGAATGGTATATGAGCTTGCCTTGTAACCGGAAGGTCCTGCGTTCGAACCCCAGTGGGTACGCACTGCTGATGCGTCCTAAACTAGGACGTAAGCAACAGCTATCCAGTACTCCTTGGTTTTCAGTGGTTGTCTAACTGATACCAATCCGTGATCAACTCGTAAAAAGTTAATGATAATAAGTTTTATTCACTGAAAGTTTCTAAATGCGTTGATCAGTCCATGTGTTTATAATGTCGAATTTACTTACATAAATCGTTTAGTACTTCTCTAACCTCTACACCAAAGACGTTTTTCTTCTCAGCTGTGTGTCAGATTGTGAATTCTCTGTACAACAGTTCACATTTTCTTACTGTGTGTCTGTAAGGCTTTCATACACTGAAGATCGAATTTAGAACTTTTAGATCATGAGTGGAAAATGTTGATCATTCAGTCTCTGAAACAGAATCTAATGTCTAAACTATGAGTTGTGTTATGAACACGTTGCCAATATAATGGTGTGACCGAGTGTAAATATGCACTAATGAGATATAACAGACGATAACGTACAGACTGGTATTGCCTAGTAGTTGATTTGTCCTGACGCGAAGAGGAAAATCAAAAGACCACCGCGTTCACGACGATACGTGTATTTCCCAACAAGGAAAATTAACTGTCATACAAGAGTGTGAGTGGTAAGGTACTAAAGAGTACGAAAGGTGTGAAAGTGTGTATTAACTGTACAATACAATAGTATATATGAAAATGACTAACATACACGAACCAATAAGATAGACAGTAGTTTTTCTTACCACCATCGGATACTGATTGGTTGTAATGTCATGTGACAAAAGGTCATACATTGTTTATTTAGTTAATGGACAGACAAAACATATTGTGAGTTATAATGAAATAACGATCAATATACACATAGTAAAAGATACTAGGTTGTCAAAACAAAGCAGACATCATGTGACTATATATCAAGCTGTAACACTTCTGCCCATTCACGATAGATGACAGCACTCACCGCCTGCTAATGTCATCAATGAGTGACACGTGTCTTAACACATCTTGCTTGATGGACCCGATTAGTCATGATTTCTCACGAGAACTTCAGACAACCTTATTCTGTAGTCAGTCTCTAGTGAAATAATGAGATAATATAAGCACTACAAATTATGCAATACATTAAAAATGAATTGGAAAGACTTTTTTCTCTGTTATTCATTACTTTGTATTCCAGATGGAATATAACTCATAAGACTTTTGCCAACCTTACGCCCCTACTTCAGTTTCCCTTTTATTCGAAATTACTATCAACGAGTAAACTTGGAAAGGTGTAGAAAATGCATCTATGGGATTCGAACCTGGATATGTTCGATCATGAAAGTTTTCAAATTCCCTTCGGAAGGTGTTTGGCAAATAAGAATGAGAGCACTTTTTTCTATCCACTTGCGGTTGACCACTATCTATGCATATAAATAAAACATAACCAGATCCTGTTTGATCTTTTCTGAACCGTAGAGGATAGCGTCTAAAAATGTGTCTGCTAAACTGCCCACTAGTTCAATGAAGTCTTCCATTTTGCAAATTAAATCCATGGTTTCCAATTTACACAGCTCTGTGTGGTGTAATGTCACCATCATTTCCTTCTTTAGAAACTGAAATGATTATTTTCATATCACATTATATAATCTGCTTGATATCGAAAGTGGTGACCGAGTAACTAAGTGTAAGTACATGCCGACTTTATACATATATATATATATATATATATATATATATATACTACTGATTCATTGATATGGTGAGTAGTTTGATACCAATTTCTCATTAACCAGTAGTGGTTAGCTGTTTGTGTTATATACCTTTCTCCACAAGTGTAATTCAAAACAATACTGTTATTTGATGGATGGTAAGTGACTAGAGTGTAGAACCCAGGATGTGCATTTCATCCTATATGGGCCTCGTCATCTGGATGTACATGCATTCTCAATGAGACTCGAATCGAGCACACATCTTTTCGAAGTCCAAACCGTTATCCATTAAACCAACCACTAGGAATGCAGCTACATCCAGCTAACGAGTCCCAAATCAGACAAAATGTGCATCCTGGATCCTACTGCTCTAGTGACCATCTACAAAACAGCATCGGCGTTAATTCGCAGACATCGTCGAAGCATCCATATTAGGAGTCGACATGTCAATATGTCCAATCAAATCGATCAGTGGGAAATAAAAAACTGAAGTAAATGAAAACTGTATTGTTCTGTGTTATTTCTTGTTTTAATTTTAATATTTTTGATCGTTGTACTGAGAGTAGTTATTATTATTTTTTTTTATTATTATTATTATTAGGTGAATCCTGCTGGAATTCGGGGAAATAATTCAACATCTTGTAGTACAAAAGCAGTTTGTACAGATGTTGGTGTACAAACAGAATCATTTGTTGGTACAGTTAGCTCTACGCTTAATGCTGCTACTAAAATCACTGTTCCAGTTTCTACATCTGATGAGATGAGCATAATCAACAAATGTAATTCACAAAATAGTCCTCTGGTAAGTATACATATATGTTGATTTTGTTTATCACTTTCATACTGTTGTTATTAGTTTCACACTGTCGGGCAATGAAAGCTAGAATGCGTGTATTTCGATCGGTTTGATGGGATTACAACGATAGACAGATCATAATAGATCTAAAAAACACTTTCCAAGTTTGGAGAATGTATATACAGCCAGCTGAAATGTACTAAACTAACCCAGAAAAGATATACCCCCCTCCCGACGATTGTGGAACGTCAATTAATATAGAATGCTGAAGTTTCTAATTCAACCATTTTAGTATGTCTCATATCTATTGACGGCTGTGACACATTGGTCTAAGTATTCAACTTCTTTCACTCAACAGATTTAGTCTTAATTCTGCTTACTGAGTTTAGTAGTAGTACAGTAAAATACCATTTAGTTGATCTACCTGCTCAAAGGCCGAATAAAAGCTTCCTACAACAGTTCGTTGCATGCTGGTGAAGAGATGTGTCATTGAACGGTTGATTTCAGAGTTTAACAGATAGATAGACAACAGATAATATAGAAACTTAACAGCCGAAGGTTTGAGCATGTTATATTGCGCTAATATGTGTTTGAACTGTGACAGGGACACCCAAGGTAGTAAGGCAGACGCGGTGATCATGAGTATCACGTGTTAGCCGCCAACGTTATACAAAGTCTAGTTGACTGAGAACACTCAACAAGGCGGGTTGGAAAAGTATATTTTCACAAGGAAACTCTCTCTCTCCCTCTCTCTCTCTCTCTCTCTCTCTCTATATATATATATATATATATATATATATATATATATATATATATATGAAACAGAATACCACATACACAGGCCAATGATGCAAGCGTTCTAAAGGATAAATCCATGAGTTATCCTTCTATCTGTCTATGGGACGACTGTGATCGGTTCATTTTCCAGACAAGGTGTTGACCTACATATCAGGTTCAAATGGAGGCCCATTGGTTTCAGTAGGTAACGTTGATAAATTCTCTAGCGAAGTGCATTACTTCAAGGACATATCTTCCCCTATTGTTATTATTATTATTATCATTACTATTATTACTGGGTTCTGAGTGGAACATAAGTTTTTAGCAGCACTCCTCCATTTCAAACCTGTTCTAGATAGTCTTTCTTAGTTGACTCCATAGTTGCCCGTAGGCCTTCATATATCCTTCTTACACAATCCCCTCCATGTTATCCTCTAACCCCCAACTAGGCGTTCCCCATTCAGATTTCATTTGAGGGCCAACTTGATGCATGATGTTACTCAACTATCTCTTCAGCGTATTTCTAATCCATCCCCATTGTTTGATATATCCTTGGTTGGTTCGTTCCCGGGGTTCACTGTCGTCTATCCTTTTTGATCACTTAGACTTCAGTGTGCAGTGAAGACAGCTGTTGATGGTGTGTTGAAAATCCTTATCTTGTTCTTTCTGCTGAGTTTAGTAGAATTATACACTAATTTATAGTTAATGTCTTCTTCTTTTGGTTTTCAGGTGTTATCCCATCTATGACATCCCCATTTGGATTGATCTTAGGTGAAACAATTCTGTCTAGATAAGTGAAACAGGTGACTTCCTTTAGATTCCTTCTCTTTGTATCATAGTATTGGATTGGGTAGCTGCTTTTTGTCTAGCCGCTATCCAAACAACCTTTCTGGCATGGTAGGACCTCAAAAGACATAAGTCTCAGTGAGTATAGCTTGTTGGGACATTGTGGTGTTCAAGCCCGACCACCACGTCAAGGTAGCAGCTTTCGGTCTTAGCTGTCTTTGATTATAGGTGCCTGCGTTCTATCTCCCGTGTCAAATGATATAATAGGGTGAACAATATTGAGGTTAGGCGTCGAGTTCTAGGTAAGGAGGGGAAATCAATCGACGAGGCTGTGAAATTACATTGACTAAGATGGTTAGGACATGTGTTACGTATGCCTAGTCATCGCCTTCCTCGACGAGCAATGTTAGCGGATATAGGGTCAGGCTGGAAAAAAGCTAGTGGCGGTCAAACCTAAACATGGCATCAGTCAATGAAATCTACGACAGTTAGTCTAAGTCATGTAGGAAGGTGTAGACTTCCTGGTTGGAGTCCTCGGGACGGTAAAAACCAATGGTTGGAAATAGTTGGTGATATGGCTCAAAATCGTTCTCAATGGCGCAGATGCATTCACTCCTTGTGACTTGAAATTTCCAATAAACTGTTTCGTTCTTCGTTATTACTATTCCCTTGTCTCACACCTCTGTTTACTGTCTCTAGTATGCATTTCTTCTACCTTCTTCTCTTGCTTTGTGTGCTACATGGAGTGTGGCGACTTGGACTGCCGGACATATGTGCAAAGTTCTATGTCGAAAACAGACAGACAGATACCTTCTGTTGTCGGCAATTGATGCTTGTTGTTGTTTTTGGTTAGCTATCTTCGTCATCTCTGTTTTTTCCGTATTCACTGGAAGTCCTATCTTTGCTGCTTGGCTCCACAGTCAACTTGATGGTTTTCACCTGTATGTTTTCGAGCTTGCTTGACAGTGAACATAAATCATCTGCAAAGTCTACATCTTCTAGAGTCTTCGTTTCAACGTGTTCCTGTCTCCTCTCTCACCACAATCTCCTGCATAATCTAGTACAACACAATTCGGAATATTATCGGTGATAGTAGTCAGTCTTCTCTTACTCCTGTCTTCACTTCGAAGGCTTCTCTGAGTATCCCGTTATGAGTCACTTGGTATGTGACATCATCATATAGCTGTTGACTGAGGTTGGCGGCACTGCACACAGCAAGTGTTGAGACAGTTTTCAAACTACGTCACAGTTGGATTTTGGCGGGGTAACATTGGAAAATTCTTTTCTGTAGTGTATCACTTCAAGGGCATGTCTTCACTCAGAGAGGAAATTATAGAATGTGTATCCAATTCATGCTTAGTATTATCAAAATATTTATCTTAAAATGTGTCAGTTCCAAGAAGAACATAAGACTAGACTATAAAACTTCACTAGCAATGGTGTTATCGTTCCTTACAGGCTTAGGTTGCCAACTTTCAACCGGGCTTGCTGCTACCGGCTCGGTGGAGTTCAAGAATGCATCACGTGGCGGAGAATTGAACCCCAATCACGTGCATATATATAGTCGACAACTACTATCTTGTCGTTGTGGTCGGGCATGCATACCGTAGTCACCCAATATGCTACAAAGGCTAAGACTTGTGTTCTTACAGGTTCTACCACGGCAGGAAGGCTGTTTGAATGGTGGTTAGATTAAAAGTAGCTACTATGGAGTAGACGAGCTCCAGAATCCAATCGGATCGCATAGCGTATCAACCTGTGTTGGTCACTGATGTAACCATGGGAACTTGGCTCCTGATGATGAGGCATCAAGTCAAAGGCTCGGAGGGGAGGTTTGGTACCTTAAGAAGACAACCACCTATTTCGGTTTGGGCGCCTAGGGTGTATCAATGTGTGTGTGTGTGTGACGCATCTTAGTACCACGTCTCATGTTTTCAATAAATAAATAAAAATAAAAGCACCTACTATGGTTAACGCGCATCATTCTACTAATTGAAAACTATTGACCTTCAGATAGCCGAGTATTTCGTTCTTTATACATTCATCCAATCTTATATTACTTTTTCGTTTCCTTCTTCTCCTTTTTCCAGACAGAAAATCAAGTAACCACTGACACTGAACAACAAGATCCCCTCTCACTCGAAAGACATAATCCAATAGACGACAATAAAATTGGTGTTAACCAGAACTCTTTAAACCTGGTTTCTGCGTCCTCTATGATTAATGATATTTGTCCATCTGTTAAACACCTTCAGAGTGAATCAAATACTGCTAGTACTACTAATACTGCGGCTGCTTCTGCTGCTAACCATCCAGCGTCTTCTATCTCCACACCATGCATACCATCATCTTTTCCATGTAGTAATTTCTCTTCTACGCCGTTAGTCTCCTCCTCCTCCTCATTATCATCGACTACTCTTCCTTCATCAGTTCATCAAGGCAATAATGACAACAGTTTAATTGAACAATTTATTAATCTATTAAATAATTGGATAAATTCACTACAAATCAATAAAAATGTATTAATAATGGATAAAGAAAAAATCAATAAAATCCTAACCAGTCGTATTGGACAGTTGGAAAGTCAAGTATGTGAAATATCATTAAAATATCAAATGGAACGTAAACGTCGATTAAAAGAACAACAGGTAAGTTATATTTATATTTCATCCTTCATTGAAACTCATCAGTTGGATATCCTACCTGTCTATTCAGTGATTAAGTAATGGATTGTGTTCTTACTGGGTTCTATTACTACGCCCCCCCCCCAATATCAACTACAAATATCATCTGATATGCTTCTAATGGTAGGCGATGGTATATCAATCGATCGAAGTCGAGAATATCTCGGTGCAGTAAAACAAAATCAGTTACTAAGGAAATATATATATATTATAGAATGATGAGCAGTGAGTTATAATTGATTAGTGCTTATTGATTCTCAGGAAGACATGACCTCAAACACAAGTGAGAGAAAATGCAAGAGTCCCTCTCGTCATCTGGTCGTACCTTCATTCCCCAATATCTGAATAATGGCCTTAGCGAATAATAATCTACATTACAGGTTCCATACGAAAATGTGGTAAGAACTCTACTATTGACTGAATATCAAATACTCTTCCACCTTAGCTTAGGATAAAAAACAAAAGACAGATTGTTCCTAGCCGAGGTGAAATATCTTCCCTTATAAGACACAAACAAATTAAGAGCAAACACTGGGGTAAGTTAGACCAGTTTTAAATAACTTATTTGATTGGTTGGGCATTTAGCTATCCAATCACATTATAATAAATCTTAGATCTCATGACAGCAATATCTGAATTCCCAATTCGTGTTTCAGCCTGTTTTTGCCTGCTAAATAAATTTAAAGAATAAGCAAAACTGATGATTGACTGATTAAGTTTCAGCTTCGATGTCTGGGGAATGCTCAACAGGTGTCCTATCCACTGCAATTGATGTAGCTTCAAAACCTCATCGCTTGACTGCCAGCTCCCTTACCCCTAACAGTCTTCATCTAATCTCAGTATTACTCTCCGTATTATACCAGTTAACGCGGGAGACAGAAGTCAAACATCTGTGGTCAGTGGCTGCTAGCCTTTTCATCATATCTTCCACTTTCACTGGCCATGCCTTTCACAACTGTAAAGAAGGGCAGAATGAACTGCTGGACAACTGATACATAGTCATATGATACCTGTTATTGAATAAAACAAGAACAACAATGGTATGTGCAGAATAATATGGTACGATCATTTATTTCGTTGGCTTCTCATCAGCTGCTTACAGTCTGAATATGTTATGAGGCTGTAAGCAGCTGATGAGAAGCCAACGAAATAAATGATCGTACCATATTATTCTGCACATACCACTGTTGTTCTTGCTTTATTCAAATTGATTAAAGGGAATACATGCATGAAGATACCTGTCTTGTTTGCCAATGTGATATGGTTCACTATCTGTCTATTGATCGTTAGTAATTGATGGCTTATAATCTACCTTGTCTGTCAATCAACTAAATAGTAATGAATGACGTTTGTCACATGACATAACGGCCAATCAGAACCCAGTTAATAGTAAAAAACTACTTTATCTATCTTATTGGTTCATATTTATTAGTTATTGACACTTTTTCATTCACACTCTTGTGTGACAGTTAATTCCCTAGTTGTAATATTATACATACCGTTCGTCAGCCTGTGGTGCGGGTCTTCTAAATTTACGGCTAAGTTAAATTTTGAGCACCACTATCTACCAATCAGCCAGTAACCTATTTTATTTTTTATTTTATTTTTGTTTTGATTTACAGCTTGATTGCACACTGTATTTTTGGTACAAGTATAGAGTTTTCAGCATGGATATCGGTAGCCCAAATTTCGCAGGCCGACCATAGATATCAGGTGTGCGTCGGCAGGGGATCGAACCTCGGACCATGTGCATAGTCAGCGAGAGTCCTAACCACTGTGCCACTGACGCACGTTAAGGAGGCATTTTCGTGTATGGAATACATATATTTATGAAACAATGCATAAAAACTGTAGAAAAGTGTTACAGAGGATACCTTGCTCTTACATGTGATAAAAATAGCTCTCAGTTTTAGGTCGGAGTGTCAACAGAGAATAATCCCATTGTGGGTAAAATCTGTTTTGATAAGATCTCATGGTGTTATCAGTAATATTTACTGGGCGGTAAACTGTGCTCGAAATGTGGTCATCAGTAAATATTACTGTATAACCTCCAAAGCCTCAGGATGGTCGGGGGGGGGTGTCTTGCGCTGCGGGTTGGCCACCCCTCCGCACACCTCTTGAAATGCTCCCATATGACCGGGCGTCTTACATAGCCTCTCCTGAGGAAGTCCTACTCACTGCCTTCACGTGGCGGAGGTGTTTCTCACCAAAGTGAGAGGGCGAAAGCGGATGCCCGGCGCTCTCCACCGGGTTGACTGTCCATTGGATGACGGTCTAGGGGAGATGGCTAAACCCTGATTCCAAACCTCCAACGACTGGCGTATGAAGCTCACTGGAGCTCACCGGCAGACGTATGGACAAAGGGCTTGTTGGATGTCCTGGATGTCTGGCCCCATTCAAAAAGGCGTATGAACCGAACTCCGGTCACCGGCTGCCAATGGATAGTGGACTCCTTACTCCACTCCTACTGCCTTGTAGGTCACACTTGGCTGTGTGAAGGCTAGAGCTGCACTCTCAAACAAAAGGCCGAGCGATGCTGGGGATATCACTCGTACCAAATTCCCATGAAACTTCATGAACTCTCTTACAAATTACCGCGCCTGGGCAGCGATGATTCGAGACGTTCATGAAGCCGGCTCATCCTCCCGTAGGAGATAGTCGAAGTAAAGTAAGTAAGTATTACTGTATAACACTGTGAGAATTTTTCGAAATAAATTGTGTCCACAATGGAATTATACTCTACCACAGTACTCAAGTTCTATTCTTATATCAACAGAGTAATTTAACCACATTCTATGCATGTAATTATTTAGGTCTTCGAAACCTGACAATAACCCTAACCTTTCCTGAACTTAACTCTAACGTGAAAATATCCCCTAACTAACTGTAATCTAACTTGAACCAACCCTAACGTCGCCTTTATTAGGTTAACCTAACCCTAACTTGTCCTTGGCTTAAAGCGTAACTTAATATTTCTCAAACCTAAGTTTAAACTCGCCAGATATCCCATTTATTAGCATAACAGTTTGATAAACGTATTTTATTGATGGTGACAACATTATTTGGCAGGTTTCACTCATTTGCTCAGTACGCGTTTCAAGGTCATCGGTGCAGTCGCACTCTGTTGATAGTTAGTGGTGCCTAAAGTTTAACTTGGCCGTCATATTTATACTCGGTCACTCCATAACAACAACAGACACATTTTTTGTTTGTTCAGTGGACACCTGGATATCACTGTGGTCGAAGAAAGTTTTTTCAATAAAAATTCTTATTTTTGTTATTTCTCTTGCGCTTCTATTATTTACAGAATTTAACAAGTGATGAAAATAAAAATGCCAACAATAGCATTAATAATTCATGTTCAGATGTAAATGAAAGCGAACAATCCAGTGGTTGTAATGCGATGACTAACTTACGCAATTCGATGATTCAGCGGATCGCTTCAGCTACTGAAGAGGCCATTTACTTTGCATCTCGAGCTAATCTCCTACAAGACGAAGTAAGCTGTTTTGTTTGCTGATATATATATATATATATATATGAATTGGCATTTTTGGAGTTGTTTGACGATATAGAAAACACTATTGCCAGCTATAGAAAGTCGCACAGGGTAACTTTCTTGTTGCTCAAAGTTGAGCAGCAGCATAACTGACTTGCTAGTCATCTAAAGAAAACACTCCACTGTGTATTGTTACATGCCTTTTCGATAACATTTCAACTTTGCTGGCAAATTGTCAACATTCAGGTTGTAAACGTTTTACACTCTTGAAAACGGGTTATTCCTTTACGTCCCCAACGGGACATAGGGAGGCTTCAAGCTGGAGGTAATTTTTGACTTTGCTGCTTATGTGATGTGGATGTCACTGTTAGCAGGCTGTGCTGAGATAGTCAACTAAGAAATTATGTACACATTACGTTTTAAAGCTTCACAGTCTGTGTCTATGTCTTGGATTCAGCAATCGATTTCCATAGTAGACTAAGTATCGACTATAGTGGGGCGGTGGTGGTTGTAGGGAGGGGCTAGGGATTTTGACAAAACTGGAACATTTCGATTACATATTAAGTGAGTTAGTTAATCAGAACTCAATCACTAGGTATCGGGATGTACGTCGTACTATGTGTGTGTGAGGGCTAGTGATGATACTACTACCCAAATTGCTCAGGCTGAAGTAGTAGTGGTAGGTGGAGCTAAATTTGATCTCCAGTCCCAATAGTTGGAAGTCAAGTGCTTAAAGCCAATAAGCCGATGATTTTTGTTGCTTGACTGTGAACTTCGATTAACTAACAATTGAGTAGACAGAAATTCTTAATGGTGTATATATACTACTGACTAATCGGTATGAGTAGTTGGAAGTGATCTGAAACACACCGGACGATCGTTTGTCCTATTCGCGGCTATAGTCACCTGTACTATAGACTGTTTGTTTGACCACCTAAATTCTGGTCAGTTGTTTGAAAAAATGATGAGTATATGGAATTAAATATGCAATTTGTTAATCATACAGGTTAAAGACGTGAAAAGTTACCACAGTTTTCTTTAGTTTCTAACCAACTCAGAAAAGTTGCCAAGTGAATAAAAATATAATTTTTGTTTCAAAAAGCCGTTTCTTTTCTTACACAAAAGTTATCACGTAATTATGAAATAAGAGTCAATGTGAAATTTGTATATACTGTGTTGTTGAAGGATAGACAACAACTGTAACACATTCTTCTTGTTTATTACTCATGTGTTACCTTGAATTTCTATTTGATTTTTTTTATTGTACTGAACTCATACACCTTTTTCTGTCTGCTGGCATATTGATGGATTGCTCCCAGTATAGACGCTTCCAGTTAGAAAGAGAGAGTGTGTGTGTGTCTTAGTAGTGACACTCTATGTTTCACTTACTGGACTACAGATCCATCCATTTGACCAGTCCAAAACGTAATGAAACATGTAGCCTGAACTTGGCTGCTTGTCACTGTTAACTAGCTTAATTATTTATTATTATTGTTTTATTTCTTTACCTTCCGAGTGGAACATTGGGCTGCTTCAAGCTAGAGCTTTAAAGTTTCGCTGGAGTTGCTAGCCTTATGCCCCACATTCCTCCATTATGGGTCTTAATACCAAGCTTGGCGAGGTTTTAGGAGTTTGTCGACGGCCGGGGATTGAACCCCGGACTAAGTGAGGCGTGATTGGCGGGCTTATTTTACCGATGCATGTTAACTTACTTAAATACAGTCGAATGTCAATTTCTGTTAGTCATGATCATCAAAAACTCGAAGAATATTATAACCATCAAATTGGTAGAAGTGGCAAGTTAAGCCAGGGTTTCAGGTGTACATACAGTTAACAGAGGTGATGAAGATGATGAAAATACTCAACCAATAATAACCACTAGTACTTTGATTTGACACTAGTTACTAGTGTCCAATGAAATTATCCACTACAGTCTTACAAGAAGTCAATCTCGAGACCGAATAGCTTTTCAGTGATAACGCCTCTGACTGCAGCACTGGGTGACGCGAGTTCAAATCTCAGAAGGGATATGAGTTCCTTTAGGTTTGCAGATACGCCTCGCTGACTGGTGAGTGCCAACTCGGCTTCTTGCCGATTGCCTCCAACTATCTAATATCATCAAATAAGCATTAGTGTTACTACCAGTGGAAGAAATCGGAAGAGAAGTTCGTTTCTTTTGCTTATCTCAGCAATGTCTAAGCTAATCAGGAAAACAAGACAAGCGTTCTTTACTCTGAGGTCATTGTGAGAACTTACAGCATTCAGTACAAGAGAAGATATCTGGGTTGTATTTAACATTGAAATAGATTAATTGGACATATACATGCGTCACCTAACCATCGCTTAAGTGAAACTAGAAAGGGAATTAATGAGTTACGCGTGGTGACTTGATGTGAAAAGAGGAACTGAAAGCTAATAGACTGTCATGCATCTACTTGAAAGTGATGACAAGAACACATGAGTGGAGTAGCGGTGTGTTTCTGTTTCTAAAGCTCTATGTTCCCCTCGGAAACCAAGGGATGAATAATAACAATAATAGTAAGCACAATAACGTTACTTACTTACGTTTCTTATCTTCACACAGAATTGTTTATCCGCAGACTAAATTATGTTGATTAAATAAACGAACAACTTACTTTACAGCTGTTAATTCATGCAAATGACTCGTATCTTTAATATGCATACAGTTTCGTCTGTACTGCTAATCGATACACAACTTTTTCTGACTATTTGCATTTATATATATATATATATATATATATATATATATATAAGATGCAAATATAATAATAATAAATAATATAATAGAAGGTTACAGCGAACGAAAACGTTTCTTCTTGACAATGTCTTTAACTATAGACGGGTACATGCGTGAATGTGTAACAAAACAAAGAGGGAGGTGGGTGAGGGTCAGAAAATTAAGGTCATAGAGCATTAGCTGTAATGTGCATCCACTTGCAAAACACTGTGGTGAACACCTATTCTGTCTGATTAGCAAAGGGTGATCGGAAGTGTATATATAGTTTATGAACTCACAACAGTCACAGCTTCATTTGAGGAATCCACCTATGTCTTATAGATGATCTTACGGTGAAACCTTTGGAAAAGAGTGATATCATAACATTTGGGCGTAGCTGTGAAGCACTAGTGACTCACACGTTTGTTTAAGACAACGTAAAAGAAGGATGTTCAGAGTTTCTTTCAAGAAAGTCATTATTATATTGAAAACCAGCTGGGAATACTGGACAGCTGTTTCATCCTGGTTTAGGACTCAGAATTTTTCTTTTACAAGGCAAGTTCGTAGACTATTCAGCCATTAGGACTCAATTCAATGGCCTATTATGAATCCTAACTTCTACGAATTCGTGATTTTAGCGCGTTTGCCATCACAGTAAGTCTCATCCATAGCAAGTGTTTGTCTTCACTCCCGACTGGGTGGACCCTATTGGTCACGAGTTCTCACTAGAACTCTTGTAGCCAGTTGCTCTCGGATTCGAACTACAGTGGGTATATACTGATGAGAAGTCCGACAACACCTACGTAACAGCTTTTCATTAATCCCTGTTTTCCAGTTATTCTCTCACTGATATCATTGCGTGGTCAAACTTGAGACAGATTAAATTCCTATAAGTTAACTCTTGAAAGTTAAACTGAAATTCGCTAGTGACTGTCTGTATGACGAAGTTGAGTTCTAGTGGGAAGTCGTGAATATTGGGGTCCACCAGGTTGGAGATGAGGACAAATATTCGCCACGTTTGACATAGTTTGGTGCCAGTTGTGCTAAAATCACGAATCGGTAGAATTCGCAATTCATTGACTGGCCGTTGTGTCAAGTCCTAGTGGCTGAATACTGTACGACCGTGACTTGTAATTGGAACGTCCTGGTTTCTTCCGAATCTGGTGAGTGTGTACTGTCGATGAGTCCTAACAACAGTTTTCTAACTGATAGCAATCCGTGGTCAAACTTGAAATAAAATATTCACCCGAGTAGTATTTTGAGTTAAGCTCATTCATTTTTCAGATAGTTGACATACGAACCATAATCTTTAATAAATAATAATGTATTAAATATTCCCATAGTAAAATGTAGAACAACACATTTAAGCGAACATTATTGTGTTTTCAATTAAATCTCATCAGGCTTAACTCTATGACTATATATGACTACATAAGTTTACAAATAAAAATCCAAATATAAACCAATCATGGTGTTTTGTCTATCGGATTATAAGATGGTGAATATAAATTGTGCGATTAGTCATAATAGTAGTAATGATAGTAATAATAATAAAAATAATGGTTTTATCAATAATAAGTATGAAAAAGTGAGGCAATCTGTGATAACACGAATAATGAAAAAAAACACAGCATGATTCAACAAACAAATGTTCAGGTAGACATAGTAGTCGATAAAGGCTAAGAAAAACAAATGAACCGATTAATTAATCCTAGATTGTAAAGGAAGTAAATGAAACACGTTTTTAATGAAGATGTGATAAGATCAAGGGATGATAAGAGAGGGTTTGAAAATATAAATAAGGCTTGGTGGGGAAGTCATCAATTGGTTGTTTTAATAGGCCAATAAGGGAGGGATAATGACTGTACAAACTTTTTTAGGTGCATAGTTTACGTTGAATAGTTCGAATGCCTATCGCCTGCCTCAGCTGTGTGCAGTAGACGAATACGAAGTTTATTTGAAAGATTCGGTGGGACACGATGAATTACTTTGAAAGCTCTCGTTTTCCCCACTACATGACCACTATCAAGTAAATGTGACAAAATTGAGCTACGGATTGGTTCTGTCTGTCCTTTGCCAAACCACCACGATGGAAGATGTTCAATAGTGACACGTTGGCTAGGCTGTCTAGTAGTTCGCCCAACATAACTGTCACCGCAGGTGCAGTTGAATTGATAAATGCACATAGATGTAGCAAAACCATCTAGCTTATCCTTCGTTTGCGTCCCAATCATTTGTTGGCTGGAGAATGACAACCATAGGT